TTGTCTAAACTTGAGCAACTTCCTCATGTGATCACTTTGTTGCAGCTAAAGAATTTGCTGACACGCTATGTACAGGCATTACTGTGCAATTTAAATAAGCTTAAACATAAAGGTAATAAGGTAAAATCTTTTCACAGTCATGAAAATACAATACATGTGAAATCTAAACTAAGGCAGAAAAAATTACTTTTACTCTGCCTCTGAGTTTTAATGGCCCATCAAGATTTCTATTGGCTTGTGAATTTTTTTTTTAATATTTTTAAATGTTACCACTGTTTAATTAACATGATTTTTTTATATTATTTCACTTAAAATCTGTAAAATTTTATGAAAGCTTTAAAATGAATCTGGTGTAGTGGAAGCATCACTTTCACACAAACTGATGCTTAGTCCGGACATGCCTATTTCAAAGCATTACTCAATACAGAGGTGTCTAACTCCAGGCCTCGAGGGTCAGTGTCCTGCAGGTTTTAGACGTGTCCTTGATCCAACACAGCTGATTCAAATGGCTAAATGACCTCCTCAACATGTCTTAAAGTTATCCAGAGGCCTGGTAATGAACTAATCATTTGATTAAGGTGTGCTGACCCAGGGAGAGATCTAAAACCTGCAGGACACCGGCCCTCGAGGCCTGGAGTTCCCAACCTCTGCTCTAATAGAACTACACAAAGTAAAAGAAAAAAAAAACAATCATATTAATTTTTAAATTTAATTTGTTGCTTTTTTTTTTTGTCTTTTTTTGACAAATTAATGAAACTCAAACTTGACGTGCAGCAAAGTGGAAACACCAAATCTGAACAAAACAGAAGAATTTTTTTTCGATTTTTCTTTAAGATAATTTAAGTGCTGTGGTTTAAAGAAACTATCAACCTAAACTATTTATCTTCTGTCCCCTGTAGTAGGCATAAGAATCTGTCTCATCTTATTGAATTGACCACAACTAAGAGCCAGTAAATTTGGATTCTAGTTTATCTGAATCATGCTGTGAACACATGATCTGAACTTCTAGTTTTTTCTCTAAAACCTGGTTGCCTATTTTCAGGTTTATGTAAACAGAGGGCCACCTGTTTGGTGGTTTGGGGGAATGTTGTCCTTTTTCTCATACTAAAAAACAATTTCAACCCAGTTTCACTTGGTATTAATAGTACGTCCCTTCAGAGACGAGAACCACGCTCTGGTTTGTGCCCCCTTTTTTTCTGTTTGCTATAACCTGAGGGCCACCTGTTTTTTGTTCTGAGTTTGGCACAGTTTTTCTCTTTCACTCAGCATGTGTTTAAACACCTCTGCATTTAATCCTGAGTTATTATTCATCTCACAGTCTGTTCAATAGCATGTCTTTTATCCTGTCTCCCTGCCCTCACCCTCAACCGGAATGTTTCCTCCTGTTAAGTTTTTTCTTCCCACTGTCACCAAGTGCTCATAGGGGGTCGTCTGATTATTGGGGTTCATGTTGAATATTGTAGGATCTGTATTGGATGTGCTGATGTGCTAACATCCAAATAAATCACTCAAAAAACCTGCAGCAAAAACTGATTTGATGGTCTCCTCTGCACAGCAGCAATAATAATAATAATTATGAAATAATTAAATTAAAAATGCACAAACAGGACAAAGAAGGTCCACAGGTCTAATTCACGCATCTCCAGTTAGCTGAGGTTAAATCAGCAGCTAGAAGCTGCACACAGCCATCTTATAACACCTGTTAATTAACCATGTTCGTAATTTTATTTCTTTTTCTTTTAAATTCACCCCCTGTAAGCTGTTACGAAGCTGGAAATATGAATTTAAATTAGCTTTGAACAGAAGTAACATTGTAAAGAACAGAAGGACAAAATGCCTCTACAGTGATGTGAGAGACGATTATGTCAGGTCATTGCTGAGAAAGCTCCTGAGTCTTGCAGTTTACTTAAATTTTCACTTAGTCTAATGGAAACTTTTATTTTTCCCAGAACTGCAGGCGTTTTACAAGAAGTCACTTCGCTCACTTGTCTAAAAACGTTTCCATCATGAGGCGCTCACACCAGAGATGTGTGAAACATTAAAAATGTCAAAGGTTATGTTTAACAGCAGCTTCATGAATTAAAAAAAATCAGAGGGCTGAAATTAAACTCATGATTACTGATTATTTTGTTGTCTTCAGCTCTTCAGCAGGATATTCAGGCGAAGCTTGGAGCTGACGTCACTCTCCAGTGTCAGATTTTCACAGATGAAATAATCTCAGTGCTGAAGTGGAGCAGAGCTGACCTGAACACAGACGGCTACGTCTACTTCTACAGGAACAAACGCTTCTATGAAAACTACCAACATCCATCTTTTCATGGCCGAGTGAAGCTGAGGGACCCGGAGATGAAGGATGGAGACGTTTCTGTGATCCTGAAGAACGTCACGTTTAATGACACTGGGATTTATGAGTGTCACATAGCAGTGAGGAACCCTGTGAGAAGTAAAAGAGCTCACACTGAGATCAGTCACTTCATCAACCTCACAGTCACAGGTGAGTTTGTGGAGCTCACGCTCAGCTCCCACATCATTTACAAAACTGAAAATAAAATCAGTTGGCTCCCAGCACCTACAGGAACTGTGCAGTCTCACAGCTTTATGAGACGGTTACACTTCTCTGCACTTGCAACTTGACATATAAATGAAGAGTACCTCCCATGGTCTCCTCTGCTCACTCCTTCCAGTGTGAATGTGAAGGGCAGTAGCATAGCATGCTGCTAGCACAGATGCTAGACATGCTTTTTTCCTGATGAGGAGCTAAAGCTGCTGTAGGGCTGGCTCTTTACTGTCATTACCCAGTCAGATTTCAATAGTATATTGAAATTGTAGTACTGTCCCACATAGATTTTCTTTTGTACCTACTGCTAACGTTGTTTTCTCAGGCTTATATTATATTATATTATATTATTTTTGTGTGTGTGTGTATGTGATGTGTCTGTTTGTTTGTTTGTATGGACATACTGCAAATCAATTTCCAGTTAGGGACAATAAAGTTACCATTGACATTGGTGCTACAGAAAGACAAGCAAAACATACTAAACAAATGTCATACATACAGAATAAAAATACATACATGTGCAATTTTCTGCGTGTGTATGTGCAGTTAATTAAATTAAGATGTGTTCAGAGATTAAATCTACAATATGTGCAGAAGGTAAGAAAACATATGCACAAAAATTACATGAGGTATCAGCACTGATTATGGCTGCAGAGTCTGTGACAACAAACAACCGGTGTCCTGGGTTTGCGCACTTGTAGGTTTGCTGCTGCTTTGGTGTCTTACAGATTTTCCGCTGACAGCTGATGTTTTTTCTGCAGGTGAAACGCATGAAAACATGAAACTGGTGAAAACAGGAGATGGAAACATGGAGGAGGTGGTAGAAGTGGAGACTAGGACTGATCAGATGGTTGTTCCTGCTGTCTGTGCTGCTGCTGCTGTGACTGTCATTGTTATTACAGCTGGATTTGTGGCAATGTGGAGATTTAAAAGAAAGAAACAGCAGCACATGGAGGCAGATAACCAGCAGCTGGTCTGAAACGTCCAGGAGTTTCTGGTACAGTAAGCTAATTGTGCGTGAGAGCAATCCACAGAGAGGGAGGACAGGTGGGACCAGTTCTGTGGGCGATGTGCTCTCTTCTGAGAAGGAGCGGCGTCTGTGTTCGTAGTTCCCGCCTGACCTCTTCAGAATCAGCTGATTTGTTTTTTGCACCATAACTTTAGTATATTTAGAAAAAATACACAGACTTTCTTTGTAGTATTAATTCACCAGCATTGTTTCCTTGAAGTGCAGAAGATATCCACGTGAAATCTTCAGGGCAGACAAACAAATTTAAAACTGCAACCAAATCAGTTTTATACCCACTCAAAGTGACAAACTCAAACTCTAACAATAACATCTTTATTTCTGTTTGTTTTAGCATAATTGTTTCTGTAACTAGATTCATGTTATCAATATCATGGGCTGTGTCATAGTTTCACAGTTGTGTTTCCCAGCATAACCTGTGAGCATCTGAGTTTTATTTTCTGTATTTTTATAGTAATAGTTGGGACTCTTTTTCTTTTTGTTTGTTTGTTTCTGTGGTTATTTTACTGTTGCTGTTGTTTCATGACCACTTCAAGGCACTGAGTTCCTTTTAAGTTTTTTATTGCATAATTTTGGGGGTTTTCTGGTTGCTTTTACTCAGACTTGATGTTCTCAGTTTGAAAGCTTCTCTGTCTTGAGTTTTTCGTACTTTTGAAATGTATTTGAGAGGTTGCTGTTTGTATTTGCATCATGGTGTTTTCCTCCACCTTTTTTTTCGGTTTTTTTTGTTTCATTATGTCTTTTGTTATCTCCACTTTCCTTTCATCATTATCTCACAGCATCTGTTTGCCTGTGTGTTTACCTTTGCCCACTGACTCTTGGTGTTCTGGGAAATTTCCAACAATGTGAATTACTTTCTCCCTGAAAGACGATTGATTACATTTCAGTTTGTATCTTAATAAAATTTAAGAAAAAAAAGTGGGTTTTTTTGTTTGTTTGTTTTTTTACAGAAAAACTGTTAAATCTGTTAAATGCAGGAAAAAAAAGAAGTCTTGTACTTTCTCAGCAGGTTACAGTCTGCACCTGTTTGTTTTGTTGTGTGATTATTACAGGAAACTTCACAGACAGTTTCTCTCTCCATCACATCAACAATGGGGATTTCATCTTTCAGCCAGCCTTGTGTTAGAAACTCCCA